CTGCGGGGCTCGTCGCCTCTTAAATAGCCGGGTCGAATCTCGCCTCCTTTCGTCGCTCCGGTCGGTCACCTAAGGCTCAGGTCGCTTAGGGATGCTAGACGGCCTAGCGGGGCTTAGCAGAATTCGCGGGATTTGGCATAGAGAACGAAGCGGCTTAGTCCCGCGCTCCCTAAGCCCGGCGCCCCCCTAGGCCTGCAAACCGAAGCGCAGGCGCTGGCAGCTTCCCCGGTCGTGCCCATGTGATGGCGGCACCGGTCGCGCTCCAACCGCCACAAATCGATTATTAATTTTTTTTCAGTAAAGAAATTGAAAATGTTATTTTTTTTTCAATTAAAAAAAAAATTTTTTTTTTCAAGGGTAAATCAGTCACCAATCACGATGGTTAAAGAACCATATTTTATAGTCATTGGAAAAATTGAAAAAAATTTTTTTTTGATTTTTAAAACATTTTTTTTTTTTGAAAAATTTATAGATTTTTGAAAAATTTTTTTTTATTTTTGAAAAAAAATGTTTTTGTTTTCCATTTTTTTCAAAATTAATCGTAAACAGACATACCTTTTCCGTCCATATTACTGAAGATACAGTCAAGTAACCAAAAAAGGGGAAAATGTCACTTTTTTTCACTTTTTTCAATTCAATGTTAGAGATGGAAAAAAAATTTTCTCTTTACTAACGTTTGACTGTATTTTATCAAAAATTTTATGCATATGATGAAATTCGGTGTCCGCTCGCTGTGCGACCAGTAGTTCCAGAGATATCGAATTTTGAATGCAAAAGGATCCCTTTGCATTCAAAGTTCGATATCTCAGAGACAAATGATCGTAATTGAGCTCCGCAAAAAGCAGCGTGAAGCTGAATAAACAGGCTAAAAGACCTAAAAGTATTGGCGTAGCTCGACCAAATTTTTCCATGCCCGTAGAGTAAGAAACAAAATGTAAAAAATTTGGATAAAATTTTTTTTGCGCCTTGTATAAGGATTGCATGAAATACGGAGCTCTCAAAAATTTTTAACCAAAAAAACTAAAAACTAGAGTCTTCAAGCTTCAACAGCTTTATTTTTTTATTTCCTGTACGACCATTTCTCACTGAAATACCGCCTGTTGAAAATCAGCCAAAAATTTGACAAATTTTTTTGTTCCCTTAATTTTTGCGAGGAGTGTATCATGAATTACAAAATTATTGTTGCTAATTATAATTATAATCATTATTCTGTTGTCCTTCCAAAGGTTACAGAGTGTAAAGATGGCTCGCAAATACGCGATATTCCTTCATGAAAATGGTACCAAAATTATTATACCTATTGGCTGCATTTCTCTGGATAACAAATACTACAATTATCCTCCGATTAACTATACAACAGCTGATATTAAGAAGGCAGTAATCGAAAATGTCGATCCTGATCAATACTACGTTGATAAACCTCTCCAGAAAATAATTAAATTATGTCGTAAGAATTAATCATTTTTATGTTTATATAATTATTGATCTACTAACTTTTAGTTGCCATATTTTCGGTGCTATTCGTTATTACTACTGCGATATTGTTGTACTCTGTTTCGAGTGGTATAATCATATTTTAAAAATTTACTAATTTGGTTCAGAAGAAAACTGAATTGATCGATTTTTCGTCATTATTTTAGAAATATGTTCATGGTTCAAATTTAAAAAGTGCTCTTTATAATCGTGGACTTTGAAGCTAATCTATTATAAATAAACTTCAGACAATATAATTATCAATTATCAAAGGTATTTCAACACAATATTTTTCAACTCTTATGTGATGAAATCGTCTTCGAATATATAGTTACGCATCAAATCGAAATGACACAAAGTAAATTATTAAATTTGGTACACAGTGAGATTTTGATACAATAAAGGCTTGGTTACAGTTTGAAGAGCTGAGGTTGGCTCTGTAGCGGTTTTTTTTTCGTTTTTGACACGGTCTCTTATGAGAATTATCATGTTTTTCATCGCATTTTAATCCATATCTTAAAAGGAGAGGTAAAGATTTTGATGATCTTTTCTGGAGAATAAATAGAATATCCAAGAATCTTTCTGAGGCTGTAACAACTTCCTTTCCCCACCCTAAATCAGGTCGAGATTGTCATAAGTATGCATTTTCGAACGACACGGTAGCGTTCAGACCATTGAGGCCTGTTTCCCATCACTACTTTGTACTCAATTAATATCTTGCTATTGTCACTGTTATAGGAAGGCTGTCTGAACATTTTCCGATCTAATTAAGAAACAACACATTTTATCTCTAAATTCATTTTTATTTTCCAACATAGTCTCCTTTTAAGTCGATACATTTATTGATTTAAGCGGTGATCTAACTTCTTTAACCCTTCCAAATAATAATAATCGTGTTTCTCCTCAAAATAGGCGTTTGCGTATGCGAAAGCCTCCTCGTTCAATGAAAATCTCTCTCCTGCAAGTGAAACTTTAAGGTTAGGAAACAGGAAAAAGTCACTGGGGGCCAGATTTGGTGAATATAGTGGATGGTCAACCAAATCGAAGCGCGATTCGTGAATTTTAGTCATGGCGCTTACCGAAGTGTAAGCAGGTGCGTTGTCATGATGAAAAAGCACTTCTTTTTTTTTCAAATGCGGTTGATTTCTTGAAATTTCATCCTTTACCTTATCAAGCAATAACGCGTAATATTCTCCTGTTATTGTTTTACTTTTTTGGAGATAATTAATCAACAGAATTTCACGATTATCGCAAAAAACATTCGCCATCACTTTCCCAGTTGATAAAACTACCTTTGCCTTTTTCGGAGCAGGTTCACCCTTTGAAATCCGCTGCCTTAACTGTTTTTTTTTTTCATTTCAGAAGTGTAGTGATGAATCCAGGCTTTATCTACAGTTATGAATCGACGCAAAAAATCCGATTCGTTTTGCTTAAATCGCGTCAACAGGGTTTTGAAAATACTCATCCGAATGCGTTTTTGATTCAAAGTGAGCGAACGCGGCACCCACCTTGCGGATTGCTTAAACATACCTAATTCTTCAGTTAGTATATGCGTTCTTTGATATTCCAATTACTTCCTCTATCTCTCTAATCGTAATTCGACGATCGTTCAGTACCATTTGGTGAACTTTCTCGATGTTATCGCTAATTGTCGCGGATCTTGGCCGGCCTGAATACTCATCATCAGTCAAGATGATACAGCCACGTTTGAACTCTGCTGCCTAAAATTTTACATGATGGAGCAGAGTCTAACTCCTCTTTGATTTGCGTAGGCGTATTGCCTTTCACAAAATTAAATATTTAATGACAGTTGGATACACAAGTTTTTTCATGTTCGGGAAAATCTCCACAACGTCTCATTTGAACGATTATCAAATAAAAACTAAGCGGTCAAAATGGCTGAAACTTTTATTAGGAACTCCCAAGACATGTGCAAATATATTCTCTAACTTATATAGATAAGTGCTACCATCTTCAGGTTGAGGTCGTAAACTTTTCAGACAGCCTCATATGTAATATAGCAATTCAATAACATATATTATATGTACGTAAATTTATCATTTTAACGATTATAAATGCTTAAAAATATAACAATTTTATTCTCAAAATTGAAACTGTAATTAAGGGGATGCCATAACAAAATTTACACCATTTGTAGTTTTCGCTATACTCGAATAATATATAGTTTACAATAAATACTGCAGTCATCCGTATTTCTTTAAACCATGCTAAAGCGCAGATGACCCTTATTTTTGTTAAAAACTGAATAATAAACACGTATAATGAAAACTACGATAGCGTATTGACAGGGTGTCTACGCTGCATGATTTTGTAATCGTCAACGTTCGTTCAATACTCATTTTTTTATAAATTATTGAGGTCATCCATCTTCAAAAATAATCTAAAGAATAATAAAAAATTGTAATATTCTATGGGAAGTCAATATTATTCGGGTATATTATAATATAGTTTTTATGAATTTATAGGTTAGGTTGCGTTATGGCATCCCTTTAAAGTCTACTCTCCTCGGCTTAAAATACCTAAAAAGTAGTCAATGTAATTAACTTGAAGTAGTCAAGGTAATTAACTTAATGTTTCCGTAAACTCGTAATTTACTATAATAACTTAAAAGTAATGGTGTGTTTCGGTGTTTACAATCGTTAAAATGATTAAATTACCTAATATACCTATAATTCCGTTTCCGCATTACGTAGAATTGTGGCAATACAAAGATATTCAATGAGTACGTGGTAACAAAAGAAAATGGATCTTGATGGCTCCTCAGCGCCACCATTCGGTTCATTTTGAAGGTTCAGACATTCATACTCATAGGTTTGGTAATACATGTTTCCTTAAAATTCTATGAAATTTATGATAACAGATCGAAAATAGATCTAAGTCGATTTTGAGATAACCTTTGACTGTTTCGGATTCTACTTATGTTACCTCATCTAAACGTAGATTATTTTTGCGTCTTTCGAAAAAAAAAAACGGTTCCTACTTAAGTACTTTTTTCGAAAGACGCAAAAATAATCTACGTTTAGATGAGGTAACATAAGTAGAATCCGAAACAGTCAAAGGTTATCTCAAAATCGACTTAGATCTATTTTCGATCTGTTATCATAAATTTCATAGAATTTTAAGGAAACATGTATTACCAAACCTATGAGTATGAATGTCTGAACCTTCAAAATGAACCGAATGGTGGCGCTGAGGAGCCATCAAGATCCATTTTCTTTTGTTACCACGTACTCATTGAATATCTTTGTATTGCCACAATTCTACGTAATGCGGAAACGGAATTATAGGTATATTAGGTAATTTAATCATTTTAACGATTGTAAACACCGAAACACACCATTACTTTTAAGTTATTATAGTAAATTACGAGTTTACGGAAACATTAAGTTAATTACCTTGACTACTTTAAGTTAATTACATTGACTACTTTTTAGGTATTTTAAGCCGAGGAGAGTAGACTTTAAAGGGATGCCATAACGCAACCTAACCTATAAATTGGGATAGTGATGGCGAATGTTTTTTGCGATAATCGTGAAATTCTGTTGATTAATTATCTCCAAAAAAGTAAAACAATAACAGGAGAATATTACGCGTTATTGCTTGATAAGGTAAAGGATGAAATTTCAAGAAATCAACCGCATTTGAAAAAAAAGAAGTGCTTTTTCATCATGACAACGCACCTGCTTACACTTCGGTAAGCGCCATGACTAAAATTCACGAATCGCGCTTCGATTTGGTTGACCATCCACTATATTCACCAAATCTGGCCCCCAGTGACTTTTTCCTGTTTCCTAACCTTAAAGTTTCACTTGCAGGAGAGAGATTTTCATTGAACGAGGAGGCTTTCGCATACGCAAACGCCTATTTTGAGGAGAAACACGATTATTATTATTTGGAAGGGTTAAAGAAGTTAGATCACCGCTTAAATCAATAAATGTATTGACTTAAAAGGAGACTATGTTGGAAAATAAAAATGAATTTAGAGATAAAATGTGTTGTTTCTTAATTAGATCGGAAAATGTTCAGACAGCCTTCCTATAACAGTGACAATAGCAAGATATTAATTGAGTACAAAGTAGTGATGGGAAACAGGCCTCAATGGTCTGAACGCTACCGTGTCGTTCGAAAATGCATACTTATGACAATCTCGACCTGATTTAGGGTGGGGAAAGGAAGTTGTTACAGCCTCAGAAAGATTCTTGGATATTCTATTTATTCTCCAGAAAAGATCATCAAAATCTTTACCTCTCCTTTTAAGATATGGATTAAAATGCGATGAAAAACATGATAATTCTCATAAGAGACCGTGTCAAAAACGAAAAAAAAACCGCTACAGAGCCAACCTCAGCTCTTCAAACTGTAACCAAGCCTTTATTGATCTCTACGTATGCTGCCAGTATTTTAATTACCCGTACTACTTTAGTCTACAGAAGTTTTAAAACCAACACGGCTTCATTAGTATACTTCGGGGAGCATGTGAGAGTGCATTCACAGTACAGCGCTAGAAACCAAATATGTATATGTCTGTACATGCACCTGCATGAACAACTGTCGGCTAGAAAAATTATTGGTTTTATAACAAATTTTACGCAGGTATATTAAAATCGCTTATAAAATATTTTAATTCTTCAAGGTATATGGCGGCCATTGGATAGGCAATAATGGTCCAGTACGCTGGCCAGTAAGATCTCCTGATTTGAACCCATTGGACTACTTTTACTGGGGGATATCCAAAGAAGCAGTTTATCACAATGGCGGCTCCAATGACCCAAATGACATGATACAAAGAATCCAACATCACGCCCAGCATCTAGAACCCAAAAAAATACATGCAGCTACACATCAGATAAGACGTAGAGCTATTTTGTGTATTCAGTAACAGGGGGGGCATTTCGAACAATACTTGGATGGTGATGATGGTGGTAATGGTGTTGATGATGTTGTTGAGGAGGAGGACGAGAATGGTGATGATGTTGATGTTGATGGTAATGATAAAAATGGAGAAGATGATGATGATGATATGAACAACGATGTTGAAAATGATGGCAGCGAAGACAGTGAGGCTGATGATAGTATGAATGAAGATGATGACGACGTTGGCAACGATCCGGATTGAGAGATATGAATTTACATGTTTTTTATATTTTTTCTTTTCTACTAAGGTTTTACTAAAAACTAGTCAGCCTAATAGTAGACGAAATTCGAATAATTCGATAAAACGTTATACTCTGTGTAAATAAAGATGATTTGTTATATAAATCTGTTTTTTCAGTCATCTCCCTTAGCTGTTTTGGTTGTTCTCAATACGGGCCTCAATTATTTAAATTTTCATACACCACTGAGTTCATCACAAACAGTTATGGATAAGTGGACTTATGAAAAAAATTTTCTAGAATTGAGGTAATTAGATAAATAATTAAAAAGAAGAGTGATAATTTACTCGTTAAACTTCTAAAACCATAACAAAATCAAGACAAATAATTGTGGGTGAGGTGACAGAATGTCAACTGACGAAAGGTCAAATAAGCGTAGGGTGGTGAGACCGTTCTCGTTATTCTACCTTTTTTCCGCTCTCGTCCTTCCTTTCCCATATTTCCCAAAACATCGACTACGTCTAACTCTTGATCATTAACACTTATACCACAGCTTATCTTTGGTCTGTTGCATTACCTGTTCCGCCCGTTGCTTTTGTCTTTTCAATATTATCTTCACGTCTTCTACGGCTAAACGAGGCCACACTGTGCTCCTTTGCCTTTCTACCGAAGTCCATGTTTGACTCTGACTCTTCTATCAAGCAGCACTGAGCACATCTGCCCTTCACACAAATCTCTATATATCTAACACACTTCTGAGACCGCCCTGAGGTTGACCGCTTTTTCTTCCGAGTCGTTGCTCTACCTTCCCATCTTCTTAAACTATGCTCGCTCCGCCCTATTTTTTGAGACTCCGCTTCGACTAACTCTTTCTCCAAGTCAGAATGGCCTCGTCCGGTCTCTTTTCCAAACCCAACTTTGTCTAACTCTATTTCAAACCTATGTAACAAAACTCGATCCTTTGTTACCAATTCTTTGCGGGGTAAGTGAGGCACTTTCGTTCAAGGCAATTGAGAGAGAAAAACGAGGGGAGGCTGATAAATGAATTATAGAAAGACAGGAATCAAATCTCACTTACAACCTATTATTATTAATAATTATTCACACTAAACATACGCGCTCATAACATAATCTAAATTACCGACCAACAAACTACAAATAGAACAATAAACTACTTAAGATAGTCACGAATGAACATTTCGCATTTCATCCTAATACCTAATCGCGTACTTAACCTATTACAAACTTACTTAAAACTACGCGAACTAATACCGGGTAAATTGCCCGGCACGTGGGCGCCTGGACAATTCACCGGTCGCAACTTACATCACTATAAATTAAACTTAGCGTGAACCTTCAGATAGCCGGAAAGTGAGTGCCAGGCTATCTCTTTCAACGCGCACCGGCCGTCGCATCACCAGAGATAGAGAGTGTAGAGAGAAAGAAGAAAAGGAAGGCTTGACCTTTTATCTCCTGTTCCTCGCAACGTCGAGGATCCTGAGCGATGCGCTGCCGCAAGAAGTACCGGGCGTCGTCGCTGGTCAGATCGCTGGTAGCTGCTGGCTGCTATCGCTGATCCAGGTATCCGCAGGCGACGTTGACTCTCTTAGCAGGTGGGTTGGCTGCAGTCGCGGACAAAGCCGTTGCCGGTAGGGTTGATCTTCCAGCTATCCCAAACTGCACTCTCCGTAGGACTACTGCACTCCAGTAGGACTAGGCTTCGACTCTCTCACGCACTAATTCTTGCGCTCGTCTTGCAGCCGCTCAGCGGCGCTCGCTTCTCTCCCTACCTTGACCTATTAGTTAGGCGGCACGCGACGCGCCGCTTATCGGTCACGCGTTGCGCGCCTGCCAATCCCTGCATGGGCCTAATACTCTCTCTCTCTCTCTCTCTCTCTTTCTTACTCTCTCTCCGCGCTCTTCAACTTTTTCTTGCGCTCAACTGCGCTGGCCCGTCCTTGGCTCTGAAACAAAAAGACCAAGTGTTAGGCGCATACTTTAATGCGCCTAACGTTGGCCAACACGCCTTGCCGAGTGGAGGAGGGAGAACGCAGACGAGAGACCGGCACACGGCCTGCTCTCGTCACACCCCCTTCCAAGGCCAAAGTTCGCACCTGCGAATGGCCTGACTCCGTTTCTCCCTCTCTCTCTCCCTGTCGACCGGCAGTGGCAACCAACGATAGACGCTAAATTATATAAGAATATCTTAGACTTAGCTTAAATCATAATTAATTCTAAGTTGGTAAAAACCATATCAACTAAGAGCAAAATCTAACAAACCCAATAGTCTAATCCGAGTGATATACCTAACCTTTCGTCATAGCAAGCCGACTAATCCACTGCGCCAAGATCGCCACTATCTTAGTACTCAATTAAACCAAGAATCTTACCATTTACTGCCGCTCCAACGACTCCAAATACCGGAGCTTGAGCGTTCGAAGCTCCTCCGCCGAAGGAAACGAGGCACTTGCCCCGGAGAGTCTTTGGCCGGCATCATCAGTCGCCACGGACCCAATCACCTCGGCGCTCCGATCGCTCGGCTCACCCGCGGGGACCGACGCCTGCTCCGTCCGCGGCGCGACTTCCATCCCCGTAATTTCAGCCGAACCGACTTCAATCCCGGCTCCCTTTGCCGCAAACGCCTATGACCTACGCGCGAGCTTAGAGCGAAAACGCTTGCCACATCGGTGCCTGGGCTTTTTCGCCTTGGGCTCCCCGACGGAGGATTCAGGGCTGGCTACCTCGGGCATTGACCTAAAAACTTCGAGCTCCGGCTCTACAGTCTTTGCCTGCGTCACCGGGAGCTCTACTGGTTTGCCCGGGCGAGCCCGAACCCTTACCTCCTCCACCGATCGTGCGCGCGCCTGGTCTGCCATAAAGACATCGCGGCAACGCGGACAGTCTTGCACGCGGACATCGAGTGGCCCACAGTTTCTACAGACCAGACGCGAGAGAGGCGGGTTCCTGCAGGCCGACCTGGGATGTGACCCCGTTCTGCAATTGAAGCAGCGGAACGAGGGCACGTCCAATTCCTCATCCCAAGGGACCGGAGCCAGGTTTTGCAGGAAGCTACCTCTTAACAACCGAAACCCTGTTTCGTCGACCCAACACGGCGACACAGAGGACGAGGCCGGGCTCGCTACCTGAGGAGTCGGGACAGGTCGTACCGGCCTAAGGGTTGGTCGCTCCGGCACAACCGGCTCCACTCTTCGTGGGGTCGGCGGCACCACCACTTCCATCCTTGTGCCTACCTCTCCCGTCTTCTCGGTGACTGTGCTCGCACTAACTCCCGAGGCTCTCCTTTTGCCAACAGCCAACGAAACCGGTGGCTGGAGGGCGCCTGTTGCCTTAGCAACGGCTCCCTCCGCTATCTCGGGTAGAGTTGGCGTCGAACTGGAGGATGGCCTCTCAAAATTACACGCGGATAGGTTGAAAAGCATTGTGCGCTTCCTCCTACCCAAATTCTGGCGAGCCTCAGCCTCCTTCCTTCTCTCGTCCTCCATATACCCCCTGGGTAGAATTGCGCGGGCCCACCCCTGCGGACGAATTGGTACGCGGGGTCTAGCCTCTGTAACGCGAGCGGTTTGAAAGGGAGATTAGGATGGACGTGTGGTTGTGGAGCCACTCGAGGCAGCTCCTGCACCGGCATCGCCTCATCCTTGGAGTCGCCCGAGCTTAGCACCACTTCCAGTACACTGTTGATGGCGCCTCGCTTTGTGGGACTCCAGCTTCCCCTTCCAATACAAGCCCTCGCGGTACGGCTCCGATTTACCGCCCTACCCGCGAGATATCCTCCCGCGGCAGCTCGAGAGCCCGGCGATTTCTCGCCTTGGCTACTCGTGCCCGCCTGCGAGAAGACAATTCCCTCTTTTGCGGCGATAACTCTCGACTTTTCGGATGCTTCGCGTATGCAAAGCGTCGTGAGCCAAAATGCTGCGCTGTGACGTACCGCCTCGTCCCAGGCACACGTGGGCGCAGCCAGACGAATTATCGAACCCGCACGGCGATTTCCCGTTAGCAAACGGACCCATCGCCGGTCGCTCACGAACGGTGTCGGGGGCGAAGGCAAAGACGGCGGCAAAGGGAACCCCTTCGCCTGCCCGTCACCGCCTCCGCCAACCGACGCCCGTGCCAACTATGAAACACAGGAGGCAACCTCGACGTCAAAGGAGGCCGCCTGCCCAAGGCCTGAAAACCGGGCGGCAGACTCCGACGCTCAGTCTACCTCCATAGCCTCAGCAATTCCCGCCGAGTTCACCGATGCGGTCACGTCGCCTGTAGGTGTTTGAACCTCGGCGACTTGAGCGATGCGGCCCGACTTCACGGTTTCAGCCATCATCACCCGACGTCGATGAACCTCCTGTACCTTAAAACAGAATGATTCAGTTATTACACCTGTCCTATTTCGCACACTATTTATTTACCTTACAGGTGGTATATATCGCTTAATTTCCGAGACGTGTACCCTAGCTGTACGATGCTTACTGTTCGTCGTTAGCTCGTAGATCTCGTGCGAAATTACTGAAATAATTTCAAACGGTCCGTCAAATTTCGGATCAAGTTTCGCGTTTTTACCATCCGCTGCGCTCGAAAGCGTATGCACTTTGCGCAAAACCAAATCACCTTCTTGAAAAAGTACCTGACGCCTACCCTTATCGTAGTGTTTCTTTTGCTTTTCCTGAGCTTCATCAATGTGCCTAGCTACCAAGTCACGTAATGCATTTAAACGTGATAGCCTATCTTTCCACGCCTTCGTATCTATCTTAACAATAGGGGCCTTTGCCTCGATTTCGCGCCTTAAACTCTTTACCGGACGCGGATCCCTACCAAAGTTTAGAAACGCCGGCGGTACTTTTGTAGACGCCTGAGTCGCCGTATTGATAGCATGACGAAGTTCATGCAAGTACCTATCCCAGCTCCTGTGATTGGCATCTACAAACATCGCTATCATCGTCTTTAGCGTACGATTTACGCGGTCAACCGGGTCACTTTGCTGATGATACGCAGGACAAAATATATGTTC